TACAACACTATGAACGACAGGGCCAGCAAACATAATGTTTAACCTGGACTTTAACTGGAGACATCTCTGTTCTTTTAGGTGATCGGTTCACTGAGGGATTCTCAGGTCTCCCAGGAGGAGGAGGGATGTAAGCATCTCCCCAGCTCTCCAGGCCCATGCTCTGGTTCTGTGCAGAAGCGACCAGAACAGGGCGGTTTCCATACTGCAGAGATGCCGTTAACAGTGGGGCCGTTTGAGCTTAATGTTGGACGTTTCATGTTGGACTCACACTGTTTAGCCAGCGGTAGTGCCAAGGTTCAATTCCATAATCCAAACATATTCAGGCCAAGTTTACACCGGCTTCACTGCCTCCTCCCCTCACCGCTGCCCTCTCCCCCTCGCCCCTTTCCCCTCCTGCTACAAGACTTCCTCGGGATGAAGAAGAGCTCTCGCCTAGCCTAGAGCTGTGTATGCTTCCAAATCTCCAACTCAAAACTGTGTTTGTGGAAAGGGGAGTCAGCCCCCGGCTGTCTGTGCAGCGGACCTGCGAGGAGAAGGGAGGCCGGCAAGGACAGATGCCACGGTACTGGACGGTCATGATGCTTCTGCTGTCCCCAGCCCCCGGGGAGGGGACGGTCCCGCCACCTGGGCCAGCACTGTAGCCCGTGGGCCAGGTGTGGGCACCTGAACATAAAGTAGCCCAACTCCAGAGCGGGCGGCTTCCTGCCCACTCGTAAACACCCCACCCCAACCAGAGCACCCCACTCCCAGTAAAACCGCATCAGGAAAAGACTCCACAGCCCCAGAGCTCCGCACCAGCAGCGCAGTCCTTTCTCCTGACACGTGAACTGGGTGGGGGGGGGAGGCTGATGCATTGTTCATATGCAGACCTTCCATCCTGCTTCTCGCTCCCAACTTCGTTAGTCCCTGCTGCTCGAGTCCCCAAGCCTCCCGGTCAGAAGACTGACTCCTGCTTCCCCTTCAGCCCCTGACATCATACCACAGGCTGTAATTCCTCTTCCTGTTTCATCTGGAAACCTTCCATGATCAGCTTTGCATGTTCCGGAAATGTGCTGAAATCTCTCATCTGTAATATTCTCTCCCCTTTACCACTCCTTCCCTGTCTTTTTTTTTTTCTTTTTTAACTTTAATATCTTGATTTCAGTGGAGGGGGAGGGTCTCAAGTAACAAGAGAAGTAAATTGTGCCAGACCTGCCATTTTGGACCAGAAGCCCATAGAGCCCCCTTCAGCAATGTGAGCTGACCACCTAATGGAAAGCCTGCGTCATTAACCTTGCTTTCTGAGTGAATACTGCAGGAGAGTTTTAAATCCATTAATTATCCTTAATGAGTAGTATCTACTCTTTCTTACCTCTCTCTCCACCCCTCTTGGTGGGGAAGTCATGAAACCACATGCAAAAGCGTGGATGCTTTGCGAGGAGACAATAGCAATTATAGATTACTGCTGTCCAACCGTATCAGCAATCATAGAGAGCACCGTGGCTCTCTCAAGTTCCTGATTAAACATTAAAAATAGAAAGATGACTTGCCTGTGTTTCAAGTGCTCTCATTTTTCCTCTGAATATAAATGTGATTTTTCTGTATATTCATAATAACTAGGACCTACACAGTCTGTCTCTCCTACATGACCGCTAGTGGTGTGTTAGGAATGGTGGGCGATCAGAGAGGTCCGGAGCAGGGAGAGTAGATCTGGAGAGTCCCTGAAGTAGGGCCCTGGAGTGGGGCTTTAAGAGGGAGGTGGTCCTTGGGCTCTGGTAAGAAGAGGACTTGCCTCAGCTCCAGATGCCAGGCTAGTCTTATAGCCAAGGAAAACATCGCTTGGGACCCATCTCCTGCTGAAAGTATCAACAACGACAGTTCTCTCCCAAAGTTTAATTTGCTCACTGCGAGGAAGTTATTTTCCAGAAGTGAAGCAGACAGTTCTCAAGCTGGGTCTCATCTTCCATCTCCCTCACCAGCCACCACCACGGTCACTGCCTAAAGAAGTCCTTTAGCTGGAGAGATGTGGCTGCCAAGATGTCCCCATTTTCCATGTCCCGATATTTGTGGGATTTCGCTAACCCCGTGGGACAGAGAGGTTCTTGTTTATTTCTAGGGATGATCTTAGGACGCATTAGTCATGTGGGAAAACTTAGGTTGTCTGTTCCTTATGGGAAACTTGTAATAAAATCAATCTGGGTTTTTAGCCTGTTCGATGGAAGCCAGCTCTCCAAATGCAGCGGACTTTAAATGGGTTCTCAAGAGTGGAAAGACTGTAGGCTTTGGCATTACTGTCACTGAAGCCAAGCGCACTAGACAAATCTGGGGAAACCAGACTGGGATCTAGAGTGGCCAGAAACATTAGCTGCCCTGAGAGGTGAGCACAGGGGACTCCGTGCATATGAGTCACATGACTAGACTCTACTTGGGCAGAAAAAAAACATATTTTCCTTTAAATGATTAAACTTAGTTGAACTTAGTTCAAGAAAAATGTCTTTTCCTTCTGAATGTTTTTCCCCCCCAGGCTTAAAGAGTTTTTAAGATAAAATTTGTTTTGTTAAAGAGAAAACTTATATTAGTAGCTTTCGAATCAGACATGTCTGTAGACTCGGGACACCCAGATGACTTCAAATAATGTGTCTGGCCCATCTCCTACATCTGGATGGTTAAGACTGCAGGTCAAAAAGAGAGAGAGAGAGAGAGAGAGAGAGGAAAAAGGAAGTTAGAAAGACTTCCTTGGGGGCCCCTGGGTGGCTCAGTGGGTTAAGGCCTCTGCTTTCTGCTCAGGTAGTGATCCCGGGGTCCTGGGATTGAGCTCAGCACAGGCTCTCTGCTCAGCAGGGAGCCTGCTTCCCTCCCCCTCTCTGCCTGCCTCTCTGCCTACTTGTGATCTTTGTCAAATAAAGAAAATCTTGAGGGCGCCTGGGTGGCTCAGTGGGTTGGGCCGCTGCCTTCGCTCGGGTCATGGTCCCGGGGTCCTGGGATCGAGTCCCGCGTCGGGCTTGCTGCTCGGCGGGAAGCCTGCTTCCCTTCCTCTCTCTCTGCCTGCCTCTCTGCCTACTTGTGATCTCTCTCTGTCAAATAAATAAATAAAATCTTTAAAAAAAAAAAATAAAGAAAGAAAATCTTGAAAAAAAAAAAAGAGAGAAGATAAAGACTTCCTTGTCTGTTGATGGAAATGGATTTGAATCCCATGTTTGTCCCATACCCCTGCCCTCCCCGCATAAAGTTTTTAATCCCTACTCCTGGAGCTATAAAACAGTAACATTTTAAGTCCACGGTTGGAAGAGGTTAGCCAATATTTCACCTGACCTCTTCTGAAACTTATTCAGGATTCTGGTTAATGCCCAGCCGAGAGGGTGAGTGAGACTCACGGTGTTGGCATTTCCTTACTTTGGAAAAGTTGGGTTTTTAAGTAAGTGGGAAAAAAGAGAGGAAGAAATCAAGTCTAAGCACAATACAGGCAAGACCGACAGTAACATCCCTCGGGTCGAGGGAGACAGCTTTGGGGAGCCGCCTGTCCTTATCTGGGGGTTAGTTCACTTACAGTAATAAACGTTTTTCTTTTACTATCTCATGACCCAAAGCTAGAATAATGATTTATACCATGGGTATTTCCTTTGCTTTTTTTTTGGGGGGGGGGGTTGCTTTTTCTTTTCCCTCTTTTTATAATTTTTCTTTCCTAACAGCGATTACTTTTTATGATGGGGTTTTGGGTGAGGCGCAGCGTTGGGCCGCGGGGTCTCAGACCTGGCGGGCAGGGGTGGAGGACGGAAGGAGGGCCCGGCGCTTTCCGCGGCGGCGCTCGCCCAAGGGCTGGACGGGCTGTCCTCGCGGAGGGTTGCCCCTTCCCTCCCCCTGTCGCGTTTTAGGTCCGCCCTGACGCGGGAGGGAGAGGGTCTGCAGTCTGCGGCCGGGGGCCACTGAGGCGTGAAGCCCCGCGCGCTAACTTCCTCCAACCTCGGGTGTTCGTACCCATTCGAGGAGTGGGAGGCTCGCAGAGGCGACGTCGCTCACCGCCTACCCAGCCCGGTGGGGGCAAGGCTGTGACATCACCTCCCTGCTCTCATCCCGTGCTCGCGCAGTGCGTTCCATAAAGTGAACACGCCCAGCCGAGGTCGCCCCAAGGCCTGTCGGCGCCCGGAGGGTTTCAGTTCCAGGCGGCGGGGACCTGGCTGACCCGAGGGGTCGCGGAGCCAGAGCCGGGCAGGCGGGCCTGCAAGGGGGTCCCCACCCCAGGCGGGGAGGAGGAGACGGGGCAGACGACTGAGGAGGCAGACGGGGCAGACGCCCCGCCCCAGTGCCCCCGACCCCCCCCCCCCGGGCCCCCCCCCCCGGTCCCGCCCCCCCCCCCATCTCGGCCCCTCACCCTTCAGGCCCGGATCCGTATCTCATTAGCGCCCCGACCCCCCTCCACCGCCGGCCGAACCCGGGTCTGCGTCCCGGTCCCCCCGCCGCCCCTCCCTCTAGCGCCCTCGCCACTCCCCACCCCCGCCCAGGCTCGGATCCGCACCCCAACCCCCGGCTCGCCGGGTCCTGCATCCCTGCCCCCAGATCGCGTCCCCAGCACCTCACCGATCCCCGCAACCCCGGCCCGGGTCCGCACCCCCGCCCCCGGCCGCGCCCCCTCCCGCGTCCCCGCCCCGCTGCGCCGCGCTCCCGCCCCGGGGCCGAGCTCGGGCGGCGAGGGTGGCGAGACCGGCCTGCCCGGCGGGCGGCGGGGGCGCCATGGGCAGCGGCAGCAGCCGGAGCGGCCGGGCCCTGCGGCGGCTCCGCAGCCCCGACAGCCAGCCGGCGGGGTCCGGCGGGGCAGCCTCGGAGGGCGGGACGCGGCCTCTGGTCTCGGCGACTGCGGCGGCCGCCCGGGAGGAGGCCGGGAAGGCAGAGGCGGCTGAGGGGGCTGCCGAGCCCGACCCCGGCCCCGCGGCGCCCCCCGACGGCGGGGACGAGACCCTGCGCCTGCTGGACCAGCTGCTGGCCGAGTCGGCGGCCTGGGGCCCGGGGGAGCTGGCCCCGCGGGGCCCGGCGCGGCCCCGACCCGCAGCCGGCGCCGGGAGCCGGGTGAGTGTGGGAGCCCGCGGAGCCGTTGGGGCCGCGCCCTGTCCCCCAGCACCCCCCAGCCCCCAGCCGCGTGCTTCCTCCCACCCGCCTCCGCCCCGCCCCCCGGCCTGCGCGGCGCCCGTCCCCCTCTGCCCCGAGTGTCACCCACCGTCTCTGTGTCTCCGAATGCCTCCGAGATGTCCCGCTGATCACGTGGCCTGTCCTTCCCCAGCACCCCCTCTGATTTTCTCCCCGTCTGCCCCTTCTGGGCGCTGCTCTCACTGTCTCGAGTCTGGGGTGACAGTGCTGGGAGCAGCCTGGAAGAGAGGGGGCGGGGGAGACACACATCCCTTGGCAGAAATGCGTCTCCCAGGCTGTCTTCTGGCCAGAGCTCGCCTTCTAGAACTGTGTGTCTGCCCTCAAAGCACAGCATCCCAGGGCCCTTCCAGCCCAGGTGGGAGCTGGCCAGGGGTGCTGGCTTTTCTCTCAAGAGGAGGCTGCGAAATGGTGGGGACCGGTAGCCAAACAGTGGTTCACAAATGTGTCAGACACGTCAAGAGTCTTGCCTTGCTAGTCGAGCAATTCACATGCTACTGGCTATTTTTAAGATGTTGTGGAATCTGTTTTTAGTTTCCCGGTCCTCTCTTCCAGAACACTTGTAATAACAGTCCTGTTGTTCTAGAAAAACAATAAAAACGAGCGCTCTGGTTTGGCAACAGTTTTCTCTCCAGCAGAGCAGAATGAACAAGATCTTTACTCTCAGCTGCCGGGCATGAGGTGGACGCCAAAGGCAGCGCCCCCTTTTCTGGAGCCCGACAGGCTTAACTGCCAGGACCCAGGGAAGTGTCTTCTGGGGGCAGCCAACAAGCAGCAGAATCCTGAAAAGGCCTCCCTGAGGGGTGGGGAGGAGAAGTGGCTCAAATCAGACAGTGCAGAGTGTCTCAGCCCCCGCCCCACCCCATCCTCCTGCCTGTCCCCTGTCCCCTGCTACCCTCCCAAAGTGAGCCGCAGTGAGTAAGACTGAATTCGTTCACAAGATTCCTTCAGGACTACGTCACCATTCAGTTATATAACACTAGAAATGGATAAACAGTTGAGAAACTTGGGGGAAATTCTCAGAGAGCATGGAAGCAATCATCTAGTGTCCAAGTTTCAAGCGCCTTGGAAACTCTCAAAGTGAAAACGAGAGGAAAAGGAAAAGAATGGATTTCCCCCTGATACGCTGAGTATCAGTGACTCTCAGGGAGCAGGGCTGCCTTACTCACTGTTCCAGTCATTTCTATGAGCCCAGCACCCCGCTAGGTGCTAAAGCCAACACAGATGGCACACGGTCCTTGCCCAAAAGCGATTCACAGTCTAGCTGGGGGAGAGAGACAAAAAGCAGAACACAGTGTGCTGAGACAGACTTGCACAGAGCCCACAGGAGGAGGGACCAATTCCCTGGAGAAGTCAGGGGGACACGCCAGAAGGACGGCCCTTGACCTGAATCTGGAAGGATCTGTGGCCTTAGCCAGGCAGACAAGCAGGGAAGAGAATTTGTGCAGAAGGAACCCTGCATGCGTGGGTGAAGGCGATGGGGTGTGGTCTGCAGTGCCCAGGCTGTGGATGGGGAGGGCCTGGGTGGAAGACACTGACGGGTCGCTACCACGCTATCGGGTCGTTCGGGAGTTTCCCCACCTTAAGGAGTTTGGACTTCATCCTAAAAGCTATGACTATCTCTGAAGGGCTGGGGGTGCAGCGTTTTGTGTTTTAGGAAGAGGACACGAACAGCTGTGGGAGGATGGGCTGGGCCAAGTAAGCCTGGGACCAAGATAGCCCGCTGGGGGCTGCTGTGGTGGTCTGAGTGAGCAGGTCCTGAACGGAGCAGGACAGTTAGAGGCCGAGGGCAGGTGGACGTACCTGGGAGGGACAATCGGCCAGCCGGGGTGGTTCTTCTGGAGGTGGATTGTATGTACCTACTGTGCCATAATTATTTTGTGAGTCAATCCTAGAATCTTAGATTATTAGATCTGTAGGAAAGCTCCTCGAGTCCAATTATTTTCAGGTGTGGGGAGATGAAGTGAAAAGGTCCAGGCTCCTAATTTCTTGACTGTAAAGTCCACAGTTAGAAGGTCAATCGCCTTTCCGCTCAGTTGTGAGGCTTATGCTTTTTGCTGTACAGATGACCTCCTTGGACTGATTCTCTTGGCACTTGTACATCTTATAAGATTCTGAGTCGACGAGACATCATCGAGCTAGGGAGAAATTAGTATTTAGTCGTATCAATATTGACTATCTAAAAACCAAAGGGCCAACTTCAACCCATACATAGAAGTCGGCCCTTCTCCGAAATGTTAGAGATGCTGTTCCCAAGGACAGAGCAAATGTTTCACTGAGCAAGTAAATGACACAATTTAAATTTCTTGAGGAGGGAAGGACAAAAACCTTCCTTAGGTTCTAAACTATCTAGCATTTTGAAAGAGAGAGGTATTCTTCATAAGACAGTATCAGACTCAAGTGAAACTATCCCTTTAAGCACCCATGTTTAAAAATTTTAACCACCGTTGATTAGACTCTCTTGGAGACTGATTATGCATATCTCTGAACCATCATCCTGAATATTACGGATTACACTTGACTTTATTCAAAAATAGTCGTAGCTCATATTTCAACGTGCACTTGGGTCTCGGACACGCATTAACTCTTTTCGTCTTTAGCATTATTCTCGTCCATTTTTAGAGATGGGAAAGAGAACAGGCACAGAGAGGTTAAACAACTTAACCAAAGCTGCACAGTTATGGCGGAGTGGAGATTAGACTCTGGGCAGTCAGGCTCCTGTACCTTGTACCCTTATGATCAAAATGGCCCTAACAGTTATGATGCTTGTCACACTGTAACCATTGTCTGTCTCTGAGCATCCCCCACCCTAGTGGTCCCTCTCTGAGCTGCCCTTGGGGGAGGGGCTGGAGTCACATACCCAGGCCTGCTGATTCCATGTTTAAAGGAAGAGCAGGACCCTTCGAGGTCAGGCCAGAGAAAGGTTCTTCCCTGGCCCGGAGAATCATCTCTTTGCCCAGTGGGCTTTGTGGCAAATATTTGAGTTAATCAAGTGCTCATGTTTGTCTCATTTCTTAATTCTTGGTTGTTTTCCTGATACAGTGAAGGTTGCTGGGTAAGAATGAAGTATTGCCATGGTCTAAAACTGGCATTTTTAAAGTTAAGTTTTAAGAAGTATTTATGTTTATTTATTTATTTGAGAGAGAGAGAGAGATTGGGGATGGGAAGGAGTAGAGAGAGAGAATCCTAAGCAGGCTCCACACCCAGAGCCTGATGCGGGGCTCGATCTCATGACCCTGAGATCATGACCTGCCATTAGGAGTCGGAACTTAACCAACTGAGCCACCCGGTGCCCCTTTTAAGAGGTATTTAAATCAATCATATATATCACTATGTATGATATATATATATATTCCTATCTACATAGGTATCTACAAGCGGCATTATGTTGATATTGGTGAAACTATAATATTCCCTTTTGAATTTTTATATAAAACTATCTCTTAAACAGCTTTTATATGGCTGCATAGTATTTTTAATGATTTTAATAAATGCAAAATATCTATCAAGTCCATATGCTTTAGCGAAACCGTCTCCTGTTGCTGTCCTGGGTTCATTTCCACCTTCATGTCTGTGCAATGTTAGGTGTACAAGGCAAAATGCCTTTCCCAAAGCCAGTGGGACTTTAAAATCAATAGCATTTTAGTGGGATATTAAAATGGAAAACTATTTAGGATGGAAAAATTATGTGAGGAGAGCTGACGGTTTGGGTTTGGGTTGTATTAAGTTATTTAATCCGATTCTAGTTTTCTTTCTTTTTTTAAAAAATTTTTTAAAAGATTTTATTTATTTATTTGACAGAGATCGCAGAGAAGCAGGCAGAGAAAGAGGAAGAAGCAGGCTCCCTGCTGAGCAGAGAGCCCAATGAGGGGCTCGATCCCAGGACCCTGGGATCATGACCGGAGCCGAAGGCAGAGGCTTTAACCCACTGAGCCACCCAGGTGCCACCAATTCTAGTTTTCTAACAGTGCAGTGGTATCTCTGGTCCTCGGTGCTCTGGTAGCTCGAGGAGGTGCCCTGCACGGCTGGTCCGTGCGCTCAGCTCGGGCCACGTGCCATTCGAGGTGCTGGGTGTACGTAGTGACTCATACAGGCAGAAGCTCTGCTACCATTCTGATCACAGTAAGCCCACCAGGGAACAAAATAAAGTACAAAGAACAATAAAAGCAGGGACACCTGGTCCGTTAAGAGTCTGACTCTTGATTTCGGCTCAGGTCATGATCTCAGGGTCGTGAGATTGAGTCCCATGTCGGACTCTGTGCTCAGTGTGGAGTCTGCTTGGGATTCTGTCTGTCCCACTCCCTCTGCCCCTCCCTCCAGTGCCTCCCTCTCAAATTAAAAAAAGAAAGTATAGCAGCAGGAGCTGGGGAGAACAGGAGTGGGTCCAGGTTGTCCTTTTTTTAATAGATGGGCAGGGATGGTGTCACTGAAGGGTAGTACTTGGGAAAGCTGTGGAGGAGGTGAGGACTGCCCCGCTTCTGTGGGAACTGCTGTTCCAAGCTGAGGGGTCAGTCAGTCAGAGGTCCTGGGGTGGAGCCTGGAGGGTCTGCCCAGAGAGCAGCGGGTTGGCCGGTGTGGTTGGAGTGGAGAGGGCAAGGTCAGGGTTGTGGGAGACAGGCTGGTGCCCAGGATGGGCGCCCAGTGTCTAGGCAGAGCATCATGGTCCTTTGGCCACTGTTAGGCCATTGGCCCACTGACACAGAGGTCTTTGTAAGTGCTTGGGGCTCAGGGGAGAGGTTGTGGCTGGAGCTATGAGTGTGGGAGCCAGCAGAACAGAGGCACGTGGAGGGTTGACCAAAACACCAGTAACAACGATGCCAGCTAACACCCTCGTGTGTGCCAGGCAAGCACTGCTGCGGGTGTGTATGTGTGTGAGCTTGTGTGAGAGGAGCCAAGGACCCGGCCCTGCTGTGTTTAGATGCGGA